GAGATAGACTGCCCCATCTTTCTTCCATGGAGTGTTTGGTGGGTTTGAACCGGCAACCTTCTGCTTAGCAAATTCCTTAGGCCCTGCACCACCAAAGCTCTAGTGAATTTTAAATTTCAGTTATTGTACTTCTCAGCTCCAAAATTTGTTTGGTTCCATGTTATATTTCTCTTTATTGATATTCTCATTATGTTCACAAATCATTTTCCTGATGTCTTTTAGATTTTTATCCGCATTTCAATAAGCTCTTTGGGTAAATTTAAGCCAGTTGTTTTAAAGCCTTTGTCTAATAGGTCCAATATCTGGGCTTCTTCAGAGATTTCTGTCACTTTTTTATTCATTTCATTTGAATGGGTCATACTTTGTTTCTTTGTATGCCTTTTTGTTGTTGTTGTTATAGTTGAAAACAGGTCACTTACAATATTATGATATGGTACTTCTGGAAATCAGATTCTCCCCATTCCTCAGGGTTTGCGGTTTGTTTTTTTAATTGTTGAGGACTGACTGTTCAATGAATTTGCCAAACTATTTTTGCAAGACTTGTGTGAGATTAAGTCTTCGTTACTTTAGCTTGTGTTCTGCTAGTGTTTTGACAGTTATTTCCTTGAATACTAGGAGTTAAAAACAAACATACATAATAAAATGACAAACAAAATACCCCACTTCTCCCAGTCAGTGCTGACTGGCTCTGTGCTGGGGCTCTCCAATAACATTTTGCCAAGCTTGCATTGAGTCTAGGAATCAGCCCAGTGTGAAAGCTTAGGGTTTTATCGGTCTTTTCTGAGCATCTGACTTACACTGGACATATGCATGGCGTGGTTACGTGTCAATTTGGCTGGGCCTGGTTTTGAGTGGCTGGGCAGCTGGATATAGTTATTTCCCATAGTGAGATTGGTAATCAGCTCCATGGTGGAATCTACTAGAGCAGCTGAGTAGCTGCCTTAGGGATGTGGTCTGCTTCCAGTATACAAGGAGAAGCTTTAGGAATGGTCTGTAGCTTTTGGCACACTTAAATGCTGCATGCCGAGTGGTTGTTTAGCAGCCTGCCATGTTGTCTGCCGTACTTAGGGCTCTTAATGACTTGCATCAATGGCCTGCCGTGTGATTTGGTAATAATGGGACTGTGACTTTTCACTTGCCAATTTTGGGTTTGTCAGCCTCAGCAGCCAGCAACTGCCTGAGTGAAGAAAGCCTCTAGCTTCAGTGGGCCAGGAGCAAGAGGCAGGCATAGCTGAGGCCCAAGGTTGAGGGGTTTTTACCCAGCCCCTACAGCCCGGGACTTTGAACTCGGACTCCTAGCCTCCAAAATTGTAAGAGAATAAACTCTATTTGTTCAAGCCATTCCACCTGTGGGAAATACCACGGGCACTTGACTGCTAGAGCAGCACGAGGCAACCAAAACACATGGCTTTCTAAATTCCCTGAGAAAAGAGTTGTAAAATGGAGCAAGAATTTCAGAGTTACACTTGGTTTTGAATTCCATCTCTACCATTCACTAGTGTGTTACCCCCCCAGGCAGGTTACCTAACTGTTCTTATCTGAAGTGTCCTTATCTGTAAAATGGAAATGTTTATGGCCTGCCTTGCAAGATTGTTATGAAAACTGTAAATTTAGTTTTACTTTATAGGCCACACCTGTTCTGACATTTATTTCCCTCTACCCTCTCCAATGAGTTCTCCCTTTGAGAGACCTCTCCTCTCAAAAAAGAAAAGAAAAGAAATACTGCCACTGACCTTAAAACAAAATGTTTCTTTTTATTAATGTTTATAAAAATATAGTATATACAATGTTTTTAAAATAAAATACTGTTAAAAGGCATATAATGAAAAACAGCAGCCCTCACCACACTGCCACTACTCCCCAGAAATAATTCTTATAGCTATTTTCTCTTAAATTTATCCAAATAATCTATTTCTATAATACTCTTTGACTGTTACTGAAATGTTTTGTCCTCTCATCTATAGATATAAAGCTTTATAAAGTTCTAACAAAAAAGTTGATAAATTTTTTAAAAATCTCTCACTGTTGTCGAGTCCAATCTGACTCATAGCGACGACTCCTTGGGTTTCTGAGGCAGTACCACTACAGAAGTAGATTGCCCAGTCTTCCTTCCGAGGTTAAAAGAGAGTAGAAAGAACAATAGGAAACTCTAGACTGAGTGAATTTTTTTGCTTTCAAAAATCCTTTTAAATCTTGCTCCTCTCCATAAAGACTCCATCTCATTTTGGTACCCCACGAGATGCTAGCTTCTCAGACATCAATTATGCTGCCTAGGAAGGAACAACGTGGCAGGGGGCTGTCTTAGAAGGCAGAGGGGAACCGAACCAGAACTTGGGCCCCTTAGTGGGAGGAGGAGCTCCATCATGATGCTTACAGGGTCCTGGATAACTCTCCCTCTGGGTGGACCTCAGTTTGTTTCCTCTTCTGTAAAATAAGCAGTCAAGGCTCAACCATCTCTAAGACCCTGTAGTACAGTGGATTACTTTTATATGGTCTTTCTCATCAGTCTTGTAACTCCCACCAAATGACTGAGTGGACTATGCAAAAATGGGATGTGTAGCCCACCAAGAGGATAGGACAGTTTGCTAAAAATGCAAATAAAGTGCATGGTACCATTTGTGTTCCACACAAATAAGATGTACAGAACCTTTAGTAAGATGGCTAGTCTATTTTGCCATCCCACTAGGCTTAAAATTTTTCTCAATGCCAGAAAAGGGAGACTATTAGTACCAAAAAAAAGAGACAGCAGCAGAGCATGTACTTTGGACTGGGTATCCCTGCACTGTGAACCTCTTAGACCATGGAGACAGAGAACACTGTAACACTGGAGATGGTGCAAGATGGTGAGAAGTGGTGGCAGAGAAACAGTGGCAGGATAACCAGGAGACCAGTGTGAGATGGTGCAGTGGGCTTCCCAGCCTACAGAGCAACACTGTTATAGTAAATATGCTGAGGCATGGAGTGAGAGAGCTGAGCACCTTCAGGCAGAGGCTTACCGGCAGAGTGGGGTGCTCCCAGGTACTTACAGGCAGAGCTAAAGAACTTTATAGCACTTACCCAAGCAGAGCAGAGGCCAGGCCAAGGGGCTGAGAGCTACAGAGAGGCCTAGCTGTGGGCATGACTGAAAAGAGACTGTGTGATCGAAAAAATGTATCCTGAGTAGTTCCTGATCCTGAATTATAACCTGTAACTTCCCTAACAAACCCCGTAACTCTGAGTATAGGTCTGTGAGGTCTGTATGGCCACTGCAATGAATTACCAAACCCAAAGAGAAACAGAGTGCCATGGGAAGGATGGTTGGTGTCTGAACTGGTAGAAAAACTGATGCTGATGATGATTCTCCTACTCCCTTATGAATTTACATGAGGAGATCTGATGCTTCCACATCATCATTTTTCTCAGGCCCACTGAGAATAAGTGAAGTCAGGGTTTGAGCAGACTGAAGAGAAGGTGCCTGGGGTCATTCAGCAGTCTAACCAGCACTGAGGCTCACAGCCTCACTATTCTGCCATGTTCCAGCTCGTTGAAGGGAAACTTCCTGCAATTTCCTGTATCTTAATGACTTCCCCAACCCTTGTGGCTTTGGAACAACATAAATTACTCTTACTATAAACATAACTCCTTGCGTTGAAGTACTTTCACATTCATTCCTCATTTTATGAATGATAAAACTGGTTCTAGAGAGATAATGTTACTGGTTCCTAGCTAGGTCTGGATTAAACTGAATCCCAGTTTGGGTGCCCAAAATACCATATGGCAAATATTGAATAAGAAGGTAGTTTGGGGGAAGGGAAATAAAGGGAGTCAGAGAGAAAGAAAAATTCATACTTAAGAAACTTGAATTATATATTGATTTATTTAATTTTCCACCAGGTCTAATGGAAATGTTTCCATCAAGAGGTAGATTCAGAATGTAGTAAATTATTGTGCAAACTTTGGGGGGGGGGCACTTTAAAAAATGTCATTAGTAATATACCATCAATTTCTCATAATAATGGTTTCTTTTCTTAACTGAAATAAATATTACACAAAAATGGGTAGAGAGGTTACTAGACAGTGTACTCAACTGCTCCTCACTTCCTCTTAGAAGAGGAAACTTTGGACAAAGAGACTCTGCTGTAAGAGATAGAGATCTTAGCCTTTCCTTAGCTGGTTTATATGACCATACTAGTCATGAAATTAAGGGCAAAAAAGTCAAGCATGGGAAATGATAATCCAAATGATGCAACTTGTATGGTTTCTGGAGCACAGAGATAATCCAAAACACCAGCACTCCAAAATAACTTCTTGTTGTTGTTGTTGTTATGCGCCATCGATTTGGACCTGACTCATAGCGACCCCTCCTTGGGTTTTTGAGGCAGTTTAACTACAGAAGTAGATTGCCCCATCTTCCTTCTGAGGAGTGGCTGGTGGGTTTGAACCGCCAGCCTTCTGGTTAGCAATCAAGTGCCTTAGCCACTATACTACCAGAGCTCCTCCAAAATAACTTAGCCATGGAGAATTTACATTTTCTATTGAAATTACAGGAGCTCTGGTAGCATAGTGCCTAAGGCACTTGACTGCTAAGCAGAAGGCTGGCAGTTCAAACCCACCAGCCACTCCTCGGAAGGAAGGTTGAGCAATCTACTTCCACAGTGATACTGCCTCGGAAAACCAAGGAGGGGTCACTATGAGTTCAGGTCCAACTCAACAGCACATAATAACAACACCAACACTGAAATTACATGAGACTTTAAACAGTTAATGTTACATTAAAATATTAAAGGGAAAAACTATTAAACGGGGTCATGTAAATCAGCTTTTAATTTATTTCTACATTGCTTAATTGCTTTATTTAGTATTCTCTCCATTAAAAAACTTATGAATAAGTTCATTTAATATATTAAAGTTGTACAAAGGTAAATTAATAAATTTTAAACAGAATACTTTCTCAATTTTAATATAGTTTCTACAAAACTATTCATATAGAAACATTATGCTTAAATACAATAAACATATACCTGATCAAATATAGGGAAAAGTACAAGGAGAGTCTGCCATATTCGGTTTTTCACTCTGTGTTGTAGAGAATTCACACAGTAGCGAGTTCTTGACTTGGACACCAATTCATCCTGGGGCAAATAAATATTAAATTACCTACTGGTATGACTAATTAAAATAAAATTTATGGCAACATTAAATATAAAAGGTTTAAACTGGGCGTAGGGGCATATTTTTCCCCAAAATAAACAAATGTAGTTGCTCTATTTAGCTGCTTTAAAAATTGGAAGAAGGAACCATACTAAAAACCGAATTCAAAACATAAAGTATTTAGAAATATACTTCTTCACTTTTACTACTTTTGAAATATTTCTATATTATATAAATATATTTCTTCATGGTCAGTTATGTGGAGGATATGATGCCATAGGTGAGAGAACATATTAAAATATCTGATGTGTATTACAATGCACCAATATATGCACTTTTCATTTTATACCCTTTTGTCTTACATAAATTTGGAATAATAACACCCAATCACTTGATATACACACCATTAAGACAGCAGCCACCATAAGAAAACGCAGCACTAAGCATTTCCACATAAGCAGAGAGCTTTCACTTGCTTTTAATGGTCTGTGCTAGTTAAATTCAATCAACTATAAGGTGTATTTTCATTATCTTCTCAGTGTTTTAGCTGCTACATTAGGACTGGACTCAAGAGTGAACAGTTTCAACTGTCTTAAGGGGGAAGAAGTCATTCACCATCTACAAAACCATTTTCACCTTATGCAGATGATCCTCATCTACTTCGTAACGCCTCCATTACCTTTCCTCCTCTGTTATCTCATTCTATGCATTTGAATGTGTATAAAATGTATGAGAATAACTAAGTTAATATAGATTTTAATGACTCTTGACAATGATTAAAATCTCATAATCTTCTCTATTACCATATTTATTTTGGCAAATTTCCTTTTGATTCAGGTGTTTTTAGGTTTTATATATGGCTCAGCCTCAATTCGATGGAAAATATAATCATTAGGATAGATCACACAAGCATTAAAAAGAAGCCTCTTCATTTCAAACACCTGTCATTAGGGTCACACTAAGGAGCCCTGGTGACACAATGATTAAAGCACTAGGCTGCTAACCAAAATGGTTTGAACCCACAAGCTGCTGCACAGAAGAAAAGACCTAGCAATCTGCTCCTGTAAAGATTTCAGCATAGAAACCCTATGGAGCAGTTCTACCCTGTCCTTTAGGGTCACTGTGAGTTGGTATCGACTCCACAGCAAACAACAACAAGGACCACACCTGGGCCACTGTCTTCAGTTGAGCTCTGCCTCTAAAGTTACCTTTTCAGCTCATAATCTTCTAGCCTCTTATTTGCTCCATTAAACATGCTTTTCTACTCAGAAATATCTTTCTTTTCTCTACCAGTCTATCAACTCTCTCCTAGTTTCATGTCCCTTCTTACCCAACCTGGACCCCAAGAATAATTTTTACGATATTTTCAAAAGCACACTGAATTCTTTTCACCACAACCTCAAAACCATTTGCAAATTTTCTACTTTTAAACCAACCCAGTGGTCTCACATTCTTTGTTTCTGTTTTCAGGTTACCAGGCACTGATGAAAGAAAAAAAAAATCAGCTTGCCTAAATGACTTCATTAGAAATATGCATTCCAACCCTAGTTGGGCATTCATTCCTATTAGATCAGCGGTTTTTCAAATTTTATTATGCTTCATCTTCCACCTTAGGGGCTTGATAAAATAGATTGCTAGCTCACTTCCTTAGTTTCTGACTCAGTAAACAGGAGATGGTGCCTGGGAAAATTTGCATGACTAGCAAGTTCCCAGGTGATGCCGATGCTACTGGTTGAGAGAAAACACTTTACGAAATACTGTGGTAGGCAACTGATCTTGGTATTTTTTTCAAGTCTATTCCTGTTTCTATTCCCGCAAGGAGAGTTTAAAATTTTACTACTTTCCTCAAGGGCTTAATCCAAATCACTTTCCTACTTTGATCATATTATTATCTTCCTACTTCAGTAAGAAAATAGATGCGAATTCTCTGGAAACTAATTCAACCTGCTCTATTTTCCTGCAAGAAAAGTCTATATATTCCTTTCAAAAATTTATAAAATTTATTTATTTATTTTTTAATTCTTGCTTTTATTTCATAGACATTTGGGTTGTTTCCACCTTTGGTTATCATAGATAAGGCTGCAATGAACATGTGTACAAGTTTTTGCATAAATATATGTTTTCACTAGTCTTGGGTATATACCTAGGAATGGAAGTGCTAGGTTATATGGCAACTTTATGTTTAACTTTTTGAGGAATATCCAGACTGTCTTCCAAAGGGGCTGTAGCATTTTACATTCCCATCAGTAATGAACAAGGGTTCCAATTTTTCCACATCCTTGCTAACAGTTGTTACTTTCCTATTTTATTACCATCATTATTATAGTTATCCCAAGGGGATATGAAATGGCTATTCAAGGATTTTGCTTGTGTGATTATTCCTGGCCTCTCCGGAATTATCATTTCTCCCTCTCTACTGGATCAATTCCTTTAACAAAATGCTCTAATTATCTCCCATATTGAAAAAGCCCCTTTCTTAACTCTGTATCTTCTCTGAAAACCCAAACCCAATACCATAGAGTTGATTCTGACTCACAGAGGTGCTACAGGACAGAGCATAGTTGTTCCATAGGGTTTTCAAGGCTGTAAATATTTACAGAAGCAGACTGCCTCATGTTTCTCCAATGGAGCAGCTAAAGGGTACAAACCACTGAACTTTTGTTTAGCAGCTGAATGCTTTAACCACTATGCCACCCGACCTCCTTTGGGTTTCACACGGCTGTAAATCTTTACAGAAGTAGATTGCCCCATCTTCCTTCCACAGAGTAGCTGGTAGGTTTTAACCTCCTACCTCCTGGTTAGCAGTCAAATGCCTTAGGCACCGTGCCACCAGAACTCTTTACCAGACTTTTAGCCTCCCTCAAAAGAGTGCCTATACTCACTGTATGCACTTACTCAACTCCCATTTTCAATTTGGATTTTCATGCTCACCATTTCACTGAAATTCCTTTTGTCAAGGTGACCAATGACAGCCTTCTTGCTGACTTGAACACTCAGTCTGCAGCCTTCCCCTCCACACTCCAGACAACAGTTTCCTCTTTTGACCTCTGGACATTGTCCTCTCCCAGTGTCCATTTACCTTACCGGTACTTTAGCTAGAGCTTAGTTCATATGTCACTTTATTAGAGAGGCCTCTCCTGACCCCAAATCTAAATAGCTACCCCTCTCCCTCTTATTCTGCTTTACTTTTTGTCAAAACACTTCTTATATTTTTATATTATACATCAATACTTTAAATTCTACTCATCCTTCAGGAAACCAACAAAACACAATGTCTTCTGTCTTCCCTGACTCCAACAGTCCAGATTAGGGAATTTTTACATCTAAAAATAACTTAAGTTTTATATAAAAAAGGCATCTGCTACTTTCAGAAAGCAAAATATGAAGTGACTTAGGTGGATTCTGCAACCATTAGTTACTTCCAAATGTCCAAACCAGAGATTAAAAAATTTAGACAAAGCACCCATCTGTCTTGGTTTTTAAGTCCTTCATGTCATTTCAAGATTGAAAGGGCAGTAAGCATTGGATTTCAGACACTATCTTGTTCTTTGATAAACAACTCAGTAGACTTGCAAAATCTTACTTGGATTTTGTTCATCTGAGTGAAAAATTTTCATCAACTCATACAAGAATCACACACCCAGGTTTAGAGTATCACATTAGAAGCAAAACATGAAGTGATCATTTATGGATCCACAAGTCAAATCAATTCTTTACTCGATGCCACTTTCTAAATGTTTACCTATTTATATGAAACAGGGTACGAATATCACTCTAAACTGGTTTTGAATAGTTTCTAAAAAATACGAAGTGAAATTTAGATAGGTATAGTGAAAACATTGATGTTCTCTAAAACTAACCTTGAGTTGGACAAATACTAACCAAGATTTAACTAACACACAAAATATAAACATCATTTTTTTCCTGTTTAAAAAAGAAAAAAAATCACATTCTGTTAACATAAAGACCAAATTTTGAACTATGGCTTGTAATTGTACAAAATAAAGATAGTTTAAAGTAAAGTATATTTACTTTTTCCAATAGCTTGATTGCTAGATCTTCCACGAACAATTTATGGGACATATTTGAGCCATCTAATAAACACAGGAATTTGACAGCACAAATTCTCACATAACAGTCCTCTCTTTTAGCACTAAAATATATAAAATTATAAACTATATTAATATACTTTGAAACTATAAAAATACATCAAATATTAAAGTATCATAACAAATATCCAAACCTCCCAAAGGTTTCTAAAACTATATAGATCTTTTTTTAATGACAGTAATTTTTAATTAAGGATAGATAGCAAGAAGACAACAAATGTGTATATCAAAAGGAGAGCCTGCCAGAAAGTATATAGACAATAGACAAGACTTCCGGAAAAATAATGCACATACTACTGATCCTGAGTCATTAATATCTTATCTATGGATAAAACAGATCATGGTACATGAAACTATTTTTTAAAAAGGATCATACATATGTCTGTTTACTTAGGTGGCAAGAAACAGCATCAAACATCCCACTGGCATATTTTTTCCATCTACTATACATGCACATTCTCTAAACAAGGGACAAGCCAACTAGGGGCCCAGGAAGTTTTGTGTGCCCCAAGCATCCTAGCATTTTCAATAACCAAATGTGATAATTTTCAATAACCAAATGTGATAAGATAAAGAAAACTCACTAATAAGTATTCCCACATTTAATTATAATATTATAATGTGAATAAATGTCCTATTAATTTAACAAGAAAGCAACTGTCTGTTAGAAATAAAAGTATCTGAGAACTATCAACTAGAAAATTTCACTTTTATTGGTACATTAAAAAGGAGCTCTGGTGGCATCGTGCCTAAGGCATGTGACTGCTAACCAGAAGGTTGGCAGTTCAAACCTACCAGCTGCTCTGCAGAAGGAAGATGGAGCAATGCACTTGCATAAAGATATACTGCCTTGAAAACCCAATGGGGGTCACTATGAGTCAGAACTGACTCAGTGGCAATGAGTTTGGTTTTGGTTTGGTACACTAAACCAGCCACAAAAAGAAAAAGAAAAACATCATTAACAGTTAAAATTAAAATGACTGATTATTCTAAGGGGTGTATCTATCAAGTATAAATGTTCACACTCCTCAGAAGGAAGATGGGGAAATCTACTTCCATAGTAATACTGCCTCGGAAACCCAAGGAGGGGTCACTATGAGTCGGGTCCGACTCAACAGTATCTAACAACAACATACTTATCTATTGTTTGGGTGGAAGCCATGGGAGTGGGTTCAATTTTAGGCCTGAAGGGTAACTAGGGGCCATAGTCTTGGCAGTTTCACCAGGCTGTGTCAGATATACCAGTAAACCCAGTCTTTTTCATGATTTTGAGTTTTGTTCCACATTGTTCTCCCACTTTATCTAAGATCTCCTGCACTGATCCCTTTCTGAGTGGTTGATAGTGGTAGCTGTGCACAATCTAGTTCCTCATGGTCATATGGGCTGAAGTTTGCATGGTCCACTAGTCTCTTGGACTAACTGCTTCCATGCATGTATAATATACTGAATTGTTTAATAGCAGATTTTATTATATACTAAACTTTAAAGTCAAAAAGTGTTAACAAATAAAGTGATGATCACCTCTGAGAAAAGGGAAAGAGGTAAGGGTTTTTATATGTCCCATATTCATTTGTTCATTTATGTTTGACTTTGCACTAAAAATTGTGAAGTTTGTAAAACTTTACTTAATAGTGATAGATCTGAAAAATAATAAGGAAACAGACTTTCTAACATACTTTTGAAAGCTCATTTAATATCTTATAATAAATCAGATTTAACAGTAAACATTTATTAAACTTAATGAATACAGAATTGCTCCTGTCTAATTAAATTCTCAATGTCCTATTTTTATTAACACAAGAAAAAGACACCACACTTACTTTTCAATAACAATGTTTGCTGCACATTGAGGTCCAAGATTTTCTATGAAGGTCTGTACATCCTGAATAAGTCTTTGCATTAAAAAACAGAAAACATTTGATAAAGAACAACAGGTATTAGATAGAAAAAGAATTAATGCCCTGAAGTTAAAGTTAACAATTATTTTATATTCATCTAATGGAATGCTTCAAAACAAAGAGACATCATTGCTACCCAAGTAGGTACTTAATATAAGTTTATGGCAAGTTGAAATAATGGCATCTTTTTACCTTTGATCACGCCTAAACACAGTTCCAAATATACAAGCCTCAAGGACAAGTTCACTATAATGTTTAGCACTTGATAATGAACCTTGGGACACATTCGAAGTAGAAACTATCCATGATTGGCAGCAGTAATTTATCAGCATATTGAAGACTCCAGTTTTTATGGCAGACATTTCAATTATCTTGTACATAATCTGGAATAAATATAATGGTCATTTTAGCGTTTGATCAATTTAACTTAAAAAAATACATTTTAGTGTTAAGTTGTTATTTAAATAGCCTCAAATAATAGTTTTCACACTATCTTGAATCAAGTCTAAAATATCCTTTCTTGCAATTTTACAAGATGACCAGAAATCACTGAACACTAATTTTCATTTCTCAATAGTAAAAAATAAAATCTTCTTGATAGTGATATATAACCAAAACCCTCTAAGAGAAACAACTGCCCAAAGTAACAGAATAAAAAGGAGAAAGAGCACCTCACATTTTACCAGTTCTAATTTTTCTTTGCATCCTACCAATGGCCTTCCTTTCCCTAAGGCAGCAAAGACCAAGGTCTCTACATATGAACCATGGAGCAGAAAAGACTGAGACAGGTACAGCAGGGCAGCAGTGCAAATACAAGGATTCCACTTTCTGTTTTCTCCTTTGACTAGGAAGCATACTTAAATTCCTTGGCATGATGTAATTCCATCATGTTATGTTCCCTACTGTATCAGTGCTTACATATTCAAATACCTTCAGAAACCAGAAATACCTTCTGATAAGAGCAATCTTATATTCAGAGAACTATTTCTCTGTATAAGAAAAAAATAATAAGTGCAATAATAAATGTTAACTGCTACTTGCCTTCAGTCAAGGAGAAACCAAGGGATTGTGGAAAGTGTAGAGAATTGAGAAGGGCATGACCTACCTACCTAAATGGACCAGCTTTTATTCAATTCCAGGAGACAACTGTTGCACAGTAATCACCAGGATTGCCAGATTATCCAATTTTCCAAGAGAAGGTAAAATCGAGATTTTCAAAGCAATTTCCCAATTCTTCACAGGTGGCAACTAATTCAAAATTTTAAGCATTGTATGAACCAAACAAAACATGTTTGTGAGCCAGATGTGGCCCATGGGCTACTGGTTTATACCTTCTTTTTTACATCTAACAGATTTTCTTGTCCTTACTCATGACATGGAAGAATGTTCAAAAACTAATTGATGGCTGAATGAATAAATAACAACAAATCTAATATGCAGTTAAAATATAATTCTTTTCTTCTTTATTTACTATAGGTTACAAAAGTTAAACCCAACAAAAGATTTACTTACCTCTTTTATTTTGAAATATGCCTGGCCCTTGATTTTTGCAGCAATGGTAAGAACTTTGTTATCAAAAACAAACTGAACAAAAGCTTTTAAATTAGACCAGAATATCAGCTGAGTGTTGCTTAAAGAAGATATGATTTTCCAGGCCATGTCAAAAGACTCCATGCAGAGTGATTCACAGGAGGTCAGAAGCTAATAGAAAACAAGAGAAAGAAATACATACTTATCACTAAACTTTTATTGCTGGTCCAAAAGTCATTCTCCAATTCATGTCTCACAACAGCTTACCTTAGGAATCAAAATTTTCATGCACTGGAACACAGGTAAAACTTGATCAGAAGGAAGGATTGTGAGGGCTTCTAAGGCAGACCGCAACGTCTTTACTGGCATTTGAACAGCAGGTAGAAAGGGTTCCAGAATTTCACTCTCTGTGGTTGGTATAAGGGTATGGTATTTTTTCAGTAGGAAAGAGAGGCAGACCCACTGATCATGGATAAACTGTGCAACTATTTTCCCCCATCCTTGGGAAGATGATGATTCTTCAAAAAAACTGAAACAAAAAATATCATCACTATCTCATCTATCCTCAAGGTTGTCTCAAGTCTATTATATGTAGTACACCATTCTGATAAAAGGGAAAACAGATATAGTTAAAGGTCACTATCAAATATCCACCAAAAAATAAGGAAAAAATAAATCTCAATTTTCTGACTGCACTGAAAGTAACTATCTTTGTTGTGGTGCTTGTTATGTTCTGTCGAGTCATTTCTGACTCACAGCAGCCCCATGCGCAACAGAACGAGACACCACCTGATCCCCTGCCAGCTCCATGATCCTTGCTATACTTGAGCCCATTGTCACAGCTACCGTGTCAATTGATCTCATTGAAGGCCTTTCCCTCTTTCGTCGACCCTCCACCTTACCAAGCATGACATCCTTCTCCAGGGAACAGTCCCTTCTGACAAAATTACCAAAGTAGGTGAGATGAAGTCTGGCCATTCTCGCTTCCAAGGAGCATCTTGGCTGCACTTGCTCCAGGACAGATCTGTCAGTTCTTTTAGCAGTCCATGGTACCTTCAGCATTCTTCACCAGCACCACAACTCAAAAGCATCAACTCTTCTTCAGTCTTCCTTATTCACTGTCTAGCTCTCACA